AAATGGGTGAATGGCTTTCTTTTTATAGTGCATATCCAAAAATGGCATCTACGGAATATTCTACCCTAATTCCTTAGATAGTACAACATATTTTTAGAGGATAAAATGTCCAGATGTCCATTTCAGCATCTTTTAAAATTATTTTTTGGACAGCTGGTACTTCTAGAACTTTCCTTTCCTAGATATTATTTTTTAAGTTGTGAAATTCCCTTAAGTTTCTTTTAGTTCAATTAAGACCCTACAAGTTTCTAATGATTTACGGATCAAGACCAACAAAAGAAAGAACAAACAAGGACTCAACATTCAACTCTAAATGACAAACAAAAAATATGATGATGCAATTTAAACCTAAAATTAAGCTAATCAGTAAATAAAAAATGCTTATCTAATTAAACCTAAACAAAAAATGATTTAAACGACTAATGCATCTACAGAGTAATCAAACAAAAATTAACATGGAACTGCAAAGATAGACTAAAAATGATCCTAAACAAATATTGAACCTAAGATAGAAAAGTGGAAGAAAAAGCAGAATCATTTCATGTATCAAACCTAAAGATGAATCCTAATTAAACTAAGTTTATGCAATTGAAATTAAACTTTAGATGATGAAATTTTAACATGCTTTTGACTAATCTAATCACCAGATGCAAAAATAAACAAACACGGCAATTCTGAACAAGAGAAAAGAAGAACCTAAAACATGCAGCTAACAACAAAAAAAAACAAAAGCAAAAGAAAGGAGATGAAAGGGATAATCAGAAGAGGAAAGGAGAAAAGAAGAGCAAAGGGATTACCAGAACTCGTTCCAAATCCGGACCAGTTAGGGATTCGATCGAACCTCAAAGGGGTGAAATGAACTTAAACTACCATTAATCGACTGTTCTCAACAAGAACAGTCGACTAATGGAGGTTTTGGGTTCAAACAAACACAAGTTGACTGAAGAAAATCAAAAGAGGAGAAAAACTAGGGTTCAAGATTTCCGGATTTAATATTTGGGGAAATTAAAGGGGGCTTTTGGGGAATTGACTGTAGTTTAGGGTTCAGAGGGGTGTGAGGAGTGTAGGGTGTGATTTTAGGGTGGTTTGGGTGAACTAGGGTTTTTAGGCTTGGATCTCGGATCTGATATTGGTGGATTTAGGTGGGGATTTGGGGAAAGCTGATAGTGGGATGGTGTTGGGAAAGGGCTCAGGATCAAAGGGTGTTAATTTGGAGCGATTTGGAGCACCGGCGCTGCCGTGAGGCGATTTTCGGCGGGTGGTCAGCGGCGGAGGCAGCGTGGGGTATAAGGGCGGCTAGGGTTTGGTTCACTTAGGGATGAAGAATGTGAAATGAAAGGGGGTTCGATAGGGGGTGGGCCTTGTTCGGACAGTATTATAGTAATGGGCTAATTAGATCCCAACTGTTAGATCCACGATGATCAACGGCTGGGATAAAAAGGGGTGACGTTTTTTGAAGGGAAGGGCCTAGACCGGGTTGGAATGGAGTGGGCTGGATTTTGGATGGGTTTGGGATTAAAAATTAGCCCAATTTTAAATTAGGCCCTTTTTCTTTTCCAATTTCTTTTATTATTTCTTTTTTCTTTGTTTTCTTTTTTATTTTTTTTATTTTCTTTAATTAAAAATCCTAAATCAAATTCCTAAATTAATCTAAATTGTAAGATTAAGCTAATTATCCAATTATAACAATTAGGTGATCCTAAGTTAAAAGAGCAAAATTACTAATCTAAAATTAAAACTAAAAATGTAAAAATGAGCCAATTTTGTGATTTCCATTTTAATAAAGCACTTATTTAACTAATTAATCCTAAAAATATGGAAACAAAATCTAAATGCAATGCATGGTGTTTTTGACATTTTTGGGGCATTTTCATGATTTTTTATAAAAATTAAATGTGCACAAAAATACAAACGAAATCCTACAAAAATCCTATAAAATAGCAAATAATTGGGAAAAAAATCTATTTCTTTGATTTTATAGGAGTATTTTGAATAGGGCAAAAATCACATGCTCACAGTGCGTATTATTATCACGCGACATCAACAACGAGTTAATGACAGAGAAAGACTCCGAATACATATAAATCGCCTAGTGGTATATATGATATTATATTATTATTATTATTATTATTATTATTATTATTATTATTATTATTATTATTATTATTATTATTATTATTGTTATTATTAAATAGTTGTCAATACAACTATACAGAGGGACTTACTGCCTGTATACTATGCTGCCTGGGCTCTATAATCTCAACAGTGTTATTATTAAATTGTTGTCAATACTACTATACAGAGGACATATTTAATTTTCAACAGTTTAACCAGTAAATATTCTATCAAGTTCCTTTCTGTTGAACGATATAGTATTAGTACCCCAATAATTAAGCAGCATAAAAGATCCCTTGCGAGTACTCGGAAAAGCAAGCAGCGAAAGCACCCCTAAAGCAAAGGCGGAGTCAGGATATAAACTTTATGAGTTCTAAATAATAGAATAGCGACATCATGTAATAGTAACTGGGTTCTAAATTTATTTTTTATACATATTTAATGATTTTTTAATACAAATACAAAAGATTTGGACTAAAGCTACTATTTGCGTCCGGATCCATATGCAGGACTCTAGCTCCGCCCCCGCCTAAAAGATGCAGTGCGCCAATGGTGGTACACTCTCCATCTTTCAATGAACAGAGAGTCTTAAAAGTGCCTCCGTATGTCCTCAAATTCGATTGCTGTGTCTACAGTGAGAATAATGGGTACGCTCCACCATAATATGGTTGCATGGAGTTTACTGAATAGATCATAAATTTTAAGGTGCAAGAATATTCGAGAGCTCGCCCAAAAACATGCCCAAGTTGAGTGATGGATGACCTTTCCTTCCCGGAGATTCCAAAGGGGGAGATAGGGAAGAGAAGATTAAGAATAGTCACTCCACCCCATAGATAGTGCACACATATTCTTCTTTCAATTTCCATTCCTTTCGGGTCTGAAACACATTAAAAAACCGTCGATATATGGGGTGATCGAACCGACTCATCTACAACTCATCTTTGAAAACAAGATGCGCTCCTACGTGAGGAGGGGTGTAGGCATATGAATTTTATTAAAATTAAATTCATAAAATAATTTGGATTATATTTCAAATTCAATATATATTGGTCCAAATAAATATGTGGGCTAATATAATTGAATTAATTATATAAGTCTAATATATATGGATTAAATAAATAAGTCTTAATTCATTGGGCTAGTCCATTTAATTGGGCTAAAGTAATAAGCACACTTCATTAAGCCCAAGATGACATCTTCCTAGAGGCCCAGTTTGGTGCCACGCGTGAAATGACGTGGCATGCCAAGTCAAGCGGAAGAACCAATAGGATCATGCCACATGTCAAAATGACAAGGCATGCCAAGTCACACTAAAAGGCCAATGAAATCGCGCCAAGTGTGCAAGTGATATGTTCTGGCCAATCAAATGCGGCCATGTCACCCTTCAATTTGACTGGTCAGAAAGAGTTTGTTCTTATCATGACTCTTCCCTTCCACAACTATAAATAGGGGTCTTCATTACTCAGAAAAGACACCAGAAGTTATAACAAGAAGCAAGAGAGAGCTCTTGGATCAAACACCGCAAATTCCACCACAAGTTTCAAGCTTCAAGCAATCAAGTTCAAGTTCAACAAATCAAGTTCAAGCTCAAGAACGAACAACAAATCAAGTTCAAGCTCAAGAACGAAGAACAAATCAAGTTCAAGCTCAAGAACGAAGAACAAATCAAGTTCAAGCTCAAGAACGAAGAACAAGTCAAGGTTCAAGGAGTGCGAGTTCAAATCAAAGTTCGTGCCAGTTGAATTCAAGATCATCGTTCGAGGCAACAAACATAGATTCAAGATCAAGCTCAAAGGCCCCTTGAATTTATTTACTATTGGAAAGAAGAATCAGAGGATTCATAGAGATTGTAACACTCAAATATTCAAAATCAAATACTACGATTGTTGCAATATTTTTCGGTCTTGATTTTATTTTCTCGACGCAAATTTATTGTCTACAAGGGGAAAATGAAAGTAAGAAGCTCTTCGACTGGACACGTTGGCTCCGCGTCCACCGAAAGCGGTAACCTTTGTCACCATCAGCATTTGGTACTCTCTCGATAGCTTCAATAGTTCACTGAAAGCCTTTGGCATAATAAATATTTTTTGAAAAAGCTGGTTTATGTGAAGTTTGATTTGAAATTGAAAATGTGTTTGAACATGAAATTTGGGGCAAGTTTTGACATGTTAAAAATTTATTTTTTTCCTTTTTTGCTAAAAGTCTCAAATGCTTCATAATTTGACCCAAAAAGAGGTCCTAAGCTATAGTTGGGATTTGAAGTTTTGGTTTTCAAATTTCCCAAAAACTAGATTAATTCTATAACCAAACACATATATTTGGAAAAAAAATTAAAAAATATTTTCCAAAACTTATGGCCAAACGCCTACTTAGTGTTTCCAAGAGTCAAATTAAAGATAAGATTTTCAGTATTAGATGCGAAATAGGCAAATATACCTACTTGACATTAATGCACATATACCCTTAGTGACTGGTTTCCCCAACCTAGGTACATGATCACATATTTCAATAGTCCATATATTTATCCATGCATTTCAAGACCAATCTTCTCTAATTTGCATGCTTTCATAATCATGAGGTTACCGGTAGGGAAAATAGATGTTAACATAGACACAAACTGCCCTAATTGTAGAACTAATGAATCTATTCTTCACATTTTTTGGGATTGTAAAGTGGCAAAGCTTTTCTGGACATCTATAGGTGTTCCTTTAAACAACCCTCTGCCACAAGAGCATTGGGTGAATTTCCTAAGAAAAAAAGCTCCTAACATACCAAACAATCTCATCAATTGGGAAGAAGTTTTTCCGTTTGCATTATGGACAATATGGAAAACTAGAAATGAGAATAATATTAACAACACTAGTAATAAAATAAACACCACAAAAATGTTTAACCATGCTCTGGAATATTCTTTATTAGCTATTCCACACATTACTAGTAATACATCCATTAAAGTCAAAGTCAAGTGGCATCCACCTCCTAAGGATTGGTACAAGATTAATATCGATGGGGCTTTCAACGAAGAGCACTTGCATGGGGGCATCAGTGGAGTCATAAGAAACAATAAGGGAGAATGGACACTGGATTTCTACACAAAGTGTGCAAGTATATCACCAATCCATGCAGAGTTACTAGCTTTTCGACAAGCTTTGCAAACACTTATGAAGGGAAATTTCACTCCATGTGAAATTGAGACAGATGCTACTGAGGTAATACATTTCTTAGAAGAGGATTATCCTACTTACAACACTTTACTTTATGAATGCAGGTACTTAATGGAGAAGCTAATGGAGAGAGGGGAGATCCGAATGAAGCATAATTTTCGAGAGGGCAACAGGGTTGCACACCATTTGGCCAAGGAAGCACTACTTCAACATAGCTATAATATAACTAGCTATTTTGCGGAACCTCCTAATTTTGCTAAATGTGTATTTTAAGGACAAGGAGGGATGTAATAGTTTCCGGACATGTAGTTTGTCGGCATGTAATATTCTAGCTTCACTAGGTAATGATAATGTTCCTAGGCAGCATGGAACCTCACGGTGGATCAATGGAACACGTTCCCTAAGATAGCATCGTGAAATATTATTATTAGTAGTATTAATATAATATCTTTAACCTTCAAAAAAAAATGAGGCTACCGGTTACCACGAGGTACATGATCAAGAAAGGGGTGACAACTAACACCACAATGACTGCCTTTTTGAATGATTTGCACGTAAGAAAAATATATTTCTTTATTTTTATATAATTTGTTTAACTACCAAATCAAACTAATAAAAGCTAGGAGTAGTGTATATCTAACTAAACCTAAAATTCATTTTTCTATGCTTTGGCAAGTTCTCTTATTGGTAAATTTGGCTACATATATAGCTATCCAAATTGACTCAAGCTTTTAAAGCGGCACCTCCACAAGTTTAGGTGAGAGCTCGATCGTTAATTTCTTAGATGTACAGTACTGGGTTTACAATATGACAATTTTGTGGAGATCCTGCTGCTGCTACTGTTATATCGGTTACTTGTTCCCCTACTCAATCCATGACTATATCAGACTTAAATAAAAGTCTTTCTTTGTATTTTTTTTTTATCAGCAATATTTCTGGTTATTTTTCCTTGCCTTTTCTCTGCCTATACTTTTCGTTTCTCAGAAATGGACCACTCAGTTTACATAGTGCTCCTATAAAGCCATAGATTATGTATATGGTGGCGTGCTGATAACGGTCCATACTGCTGCCAACCTTCATGTAGAGGCCTAACATTTCCTGGTCCCTATGAAACATAATTGAAATTTGAAAGCTCTATCTTTGGAAAGTCAAATTATTATACTGGTGTTCAGATAACTCCAATATAATCTCCTTCAGTCAATATTTGCATTGTTCCCCCTCCAAGCATAATCACCTAACATATGTAACGCACTACTGCATGTACTTCTCAGTGCTGGTTTCCTACCACATGATTTGGACAGTTTTCTTGATGAAATGCTTCATAAAAATTGTTGGAAGAAGCTATTGGGTCGGATCCATCCATAAGAGGTGTTAATTACTAGCTCGTTAGCCCATTAGTTTGTCCTCCTCCTGAAACCCTACTTATAACCTGGGGCGGATCCACCTCCCCACCTACGGGTTCATGTGAACTCAGTAAATTTTGTCCAAATAATGTAAATGTGTTCGAAAAATTTACTAAATATGTATATAAATGTTTGAATGCGAACCAGTTACTATTGAAAATTTAGTAGAGGTCGTTACAGGAACCCATAAATATTAAATCTTGGATCCGTCTCTGCTTATAACCTATAATACACCATTATGAGTATAGAAAAAGAAGATTTTCTTAATGTTTCTTTATGGGAAATAATGACGGTTAGAGTTGAATTCTCTACATCTTATAGAAGATATCTAGGCTGTGAAAACCAAGAAACTTTTTCGCTTTGTGATAATTTTTACCTACTCGTAAGTTAAGTTGTGGTTGCTGCAAATCTGCTTCCGTAAGGAGAAACTCATAAGTCTCCTAACTAGTATTTTTCGATTAAATACTTCAAAAATGTTCGAAATTGTTTTCGGAACAGAACTTTTCTGAAAAAAGTCGTTTAAACTGATAAAAAAGAAGCTTTCTAACCCAAATAAGCTCCCCCTAACCAACACTTTTCATCAAACAACTACATATCCAATTATTACTACTATTTTTATCAATCTTAATAGAAAAAATCCAAAATATATTTCACTCAACCAATCAACCACCATGACAAAAAAATAAAAACTTATTTTGGGAAGACATTTTCTTGAAATGTTTTCCGTCATATCAATCACACCTCTTTGTACATCAACAAGCATGAACGACATTAGATTTACAACAATTGCTATTTTCTTAGACATCCATTTTGCTAGTTAAGCAGCCATCTACAGCGTCACCCACGGTGAGAAAAATCCATCCTTTCCCAAGTTTATCCAAAAATTTTGCTGCTTTCAACTTGTTAATCACTTTCCAACTTGGGCTAGCTATACCTAACTGCAAAAAAGGAAAAAAGGGAAAGAAAAAACGTCATTTTAATTAGTATAAATTACTATGCACTTAATATAAATTAGGCACATTATTAGAAAGTAAAAGGAAATTAGAGCCTGACTTGCATGCCCTGGGAAATCAATTCTCTGTACAACTCCTCCAATGCCACGATTCCTGATGTATCCACATTCATTACATCTGCAAAGAATGTAATCGATGTCGTATTAGAGAGGTAGGATTAAAAATCAAAAATTAAAAATTACACTGAACTCTTTTCTCATGTATCTAATTTAGATATACATATATATATATATATATACAGCAACAACAATCCAGTAAAATCCCACAAGTAGGATCTGAGGGATATATATATATATATATATATATATATATATATATATATATATATATATATATCATCTTTTGATCTAGTGGTGTAAAGGAGGTGTCAGTTTACATACTAGACTATGTAATCCGCCTAATCCATCCAGAGTTAGGTTTAGTAATCAAGTTATGTCATGACTTGTTACTAAACTTGACCTAACTAACCTTTTGACGTGTTGGGTCGCGACTAATTTATTGATTCAACCTGCTTAACCCTCAAACTTGACTCAAACAGTTCATTTAACACCACTACTGTGTACACTTTAAGTGTGTTTCTTCTTTATTTTTTTATTTTATTATTATTTTTTACCTTTTCTTTAATTTCTAGAACTTTTATGAAAAAATCGCTCTAAGTAATTAGTGAAGTACAGAGAATTACATAAACAAATAAATGAAAGGGAAACCTTCAACAAGTAATAAAAGGATAAAAATAGGCAGAATAGCCTATTAGACACTTGTACTTATACTGGTTTGTCATCCCGGTCTCTATACTTGATAGAGTTTTATCTAAACACTTCTACCTGATAAAAACGAGTGTCTCAAATCCTTCTGACGCCGCGTATCTCTCAATCGCGCTATGTCACAATCCACATCAGATAAAAAATGCCAGATCATTTTTTATTTAGACAAAAAATCTAAAATAACTTTGACTTACCATTTTTCTCTTTTGACTTTTTATTTATTTTTCTTTACTTCCCCACCATCACTTTTTTCTTACTGTTCTCCACTGCCATGGCCGAAAATTTCTCCGGCCACCATGAAACTCCTTCCTTTCGTTTTTTTTTATTTCATAATCTATTCCTCTATCCTATTTTCTCAAAAGCTCCCTCTAAACAGATCTGAAATCATATTTTTAGGCAGAAAACATATCTTAAATAAAGATAATACAGATTCCATCTTTTTTATTTCTTTTTTGCATTCACTTTCACCCAAAAACCAATAAAACTTACTAAAACAATATAAACTTTCATATTCTTCTTCACAAACTTATTGAAGTTAATTGATCAAAAAATATTTGACGGTGACAAATCAATAGTGAAGAGCCTCAATCTTGGTGGTGGATGACAGTTAAAATTGAAGGATGACGAAGGGGAGGAGGCCAACAGAGGATTTCAAAGTGAAATTAATAAAATATTTTTATGTTGGTAATTTTATTTAATATCAAAGCCTAATAAAAGGGGGGAGGTAGAAAAAAGGGTTGGACGGAAAGGAACGGAGAAGAAGAAGATAAGAAGAGGGGAACATGGGTGCTGGAAGGGGTTATGACGGGAAGGGGTCATGACGGAAAGCAGGGGTCTTTAGGATTTTTTTCAATCTTTTTTCATTTATTTCTTTATTGTTTCTTTTTCTTGTGATTTTTCAAATAATTTCTTTAATCAAAATAATTGATGCACGCGCTTTTTATTGCGTGTAATCACGCAATTATCTGACTCATCAAAACAAATGCCAACTAAACTCGGTCAACGGTCAGAAGGGCTTATGAAGTAGGTTTTGATAAACTAGAAGTGTTTGGATGAAACTCCACAAAATATAAGAACCGGGATGACAAACCTGAACAAGTATAGGAGTCTACTAGACCATTCTGCCTAATTAAAATAACATTTATAATTGGTCAAAACATCGAAATCTCCCGAGGAAAAAGTGGGTTTCCCCTTTTTTTTTAAAGGAAATTTTGAAACAAATAAAAGAGGGAATTTGAAGTCGGCTTTTTCTGTCAAAATAACAGAATTTGAAATTCCCGGCTTTTAGAACATAAGATCAGCAGAAACGTCATTTTTTTACCTCTAGACGAAAAGTCGGAAGTGCCCCTTGTTATAAATCGAATTAACACAATAGCTAGAGCCTTCTTTAGTTTTTTTTTTTCTCGGAAACAAAATGTTTAGCTCTTATAAATTAGATTTTTGTAAAAACAACTAATCTAACATACAAACTTTCCCACAATTACTTTTAAGTACAAACATTTATTCGAAGACTAACTTTTAAAAACTAATTTGAACCAATGATTAACGAAATAGCTTACATAAATTCGATATTTATATAAAATTATATTAATATATTATGATCTCTGATATATTACAACGAAAATATACTTTAATCAACTATAGTTAAATAATTTTTTGTCTCAATTTATGTGGAGGTATCCGAATTTCGTGAATTAAATGAGTCTTTTTTACCATAATTTTTCATATGTCTTTTAAATAATTTAAATTATAATTATCGCGACTAATAGTATTTTTTACGTAATCATTAAATATATAAATTTTACTTCAAACACTTAAATATTTAATGTTCGAATTTATAGTAGAAGTTAACTTGTTTGACACTCGAATTCATAAATCATCGCGTAAATTGAAACGAGAAAAATAATAAAATTATAGGTAAATAAAATAAATAAAAATATATTTATTGATTTGACGTAAATATTGAATATATCTGCAATTTTAACATTCATAGCTAGATTCTTTGGAACATGTGCATTGTGGGGACAAAAAGATGTGGGTCCCATATAAAGTTGCCTTCTACCTAAACAACAACCACTTTGCATGGGATTCCTTCTTATCTTCCATCTGTTTCATTTTATATGATATCAATACTACCTTCTTATATTTATTTCCAAAATTTTATTATTTGTAATGGTAAACAAATAATGATTTATAATACTTTTTGTAACAAGTCCTACTTCTAAAAATTGCACGAGACGTCCTATTTGAGCGCCCCTTTTAACCTGTAGCCACTTTGTCTTTTTGTTTGCATCCGTACCTACTTTTTAAAAAACTTCAGCTTCCCTTTATAACTGCGAAACTTCAGCTCTAGAGCTGAAGTTTCCGGGTTACTAAACAAAAACTTCAGCTCTAGAGCTGAAGTTTTTATTTTATAACTAGCAAACTTCAGCTCTAGAGCTGAAATTTTCGGGTTACTAAACAAAAACTTCAGCTCTAGAGCTGAAGTTTTCCGGTTACTAAACAAAAACTTATAAAATAANTCTAAACACTTCTACCTGATAAAAACGAGTGTCTCAAATCCTTCTGACGCCGCGTATCTCTCAATCGCGCTATGTCACAATCCACATCAGATAAAAAATGCCAGATCATTTTTTATTTAGACAAAAAATCTAAAATAACTTTGACTTACCATTTTTCTCTTTTGACTTTTTATTTATTTTTCTTTACTTCCCCACCATCACTTTTTTCTTGCTATTCTCCACTGCCATGGCCGAAAATTTCTCCGGCCACCATGAAACTCCTTCCTTCCGTTTTTTTTTTATTTCATAATCTATTCCTCTATCCTATTTTCTCAAAAGCTCCCTCTAAACAGATCTGAAATCATATTTTTAGGCAGAAAACATATCTCAAATAAAGATAATACAGATTCCATCTTTTTTATTTCTTTTTTGCCTTCACTTTCACCCAAAAACCAATAAAACTTACCAAAACAATATAAACTTTCATATTCTTCTTCACAAACTTATTGAAGTTAATTGATCAAAAAATATTTGACGGTGATAAATCAATAGTGAAGAGCCTCAATCTTGGTGGTGGATGACAGTTAAAAATGAAGGATGACGAAGGGGAGGAGGCTAACAGGGGATTTCAAAGTGAAATTAATAAAATATTTTTATGTTGGTAATTTTGTTTAATATCAAAGCCTAATAAAAGGGGGGAGGTAGAAAAAAGGGTTGGGCGGAAAGGAACGGGGAAGAAGAAGATAGGAAGAGGGGAACATGGGTGTTGGAAGGGGTTATGACGGGAAGGGGTCATGACGGAAAGCAAGGGTCTTTAGGATTTTTTTCAATCTTTTTTCATTTATTTTTATTGTTTCTTTTTCTTGTGATTTTTCAAATAATTTCTTTAATCAAAATAATTGACGCACGCGCTTTTTATAGCGTGTAATCACGCAATTATCTGACTCATCAAAACAAATGCCAACTAAGCTCGGTCAACGGTCAGAAGGGTTTATGAAGTAGGTTTTAATAAACTAGAAGTGTTTGGATGAAACTCCACAGAATATAAGGACCGGGATGACAAACCTGAACAAGTATAGGAGTCTACTAGGTCATTCTGCCATAAAAATATACTCCTATAAAATATACTCTTGGTCAAAGAAAGGATGATACTTTTCAAATTTCGAGAGTCAAACGAGTTGTTCCTTGATCACGACTTTTTCATGTACCTTTTAAATATTGTAAATTATTAATTTCTGTGACTTGTAGTACTTTTTATATAGTTTCCAAATATATAAATTTTACTTAAAAACCTACAAATTTTATGACCAATGTTAAAAAATTTGTCTCTCAAATTGAGAGTATCATCCCTTTTTGGACAGAGAGAGAAATAAGAAATTTGTCCTATAAATATTAAAACCAAAAAAATTTAAAAAAAAATACTGGATGTAGTGCAATTAGTAGTAATACTTACTGGACATATCGAGCACCAAGACATTAATCTTCTTCTTGGTGTGCCCATCAGTGGTGTGTTTGACCAACCTCAATATCCTTTAAAAAGAAAGGAAAATTACAGATAAATATTGAACAAAAAAAATCAGAGTTATTTAGTTTTTATTTTCAATTTCCTCCATTAAAATTTAAGTTATACCTCTGTCTTATGAAATTAGCATTTGCAAAGCAGAGTGAAGCATTGTTGACTCTAATTATCAAGATTCCTGGAGCTTCAGTGGCCACAGGAAACTGAGTAATGTCACAGAAGGTGTATGTTCCAGGAAGTCTGCCTTGTAGTTCTACACTTGGTCGAATTGTATCAACTATTATTTTACCAAATGAGATGCCAACCTGCAATATATCCAACAGAGATATCAGCGACAAAATACTGTTAGGTGATTTTTACTTTTCTCTTGGCACGAGGGATAAGAGATAATTATTCTGGGGATTAAATTTGAGGTGAGTTTATCCTACGGATAAAATCGCAGTATAACTAATCCCGGGGTAACTTATCCTGCGCTACAATTCCTATAGGAAGGTGAGAAACAATTCCCGAGATAACTTGTTTCCCAACCAAACGACCCCTTGGGGTACGAAAGGGAAAGAGCATCACCTAGTATCAACTGTCGTTAATATAATAAAACTCCATTATAAAAAAATAGGAAAATAAGAAGAAACACAGATGGCTCACATGACTATCTATTTCTTCTAATTAACCGAGTCCGAAACAAGTTGATATCAGCTATATAAGAATTATTTTATGTATTTATTTATTTATTTTAGATGAAATTCATATAATTAGCCAAGAAGCTGTAAATTAGGTAAATAGATGTAGGGAAAGGTTTAGTTACCGCAATTAGAAGACCAATTTCCACTGAGCCAAAGAGTACTCCAAAGAAGGTAGCAATGCATATAATGAAGTCTGTCTTGTCCACTTTCCAAATATGATATGCTTCATTTATGTCGATCAATCCTGGAAGGGCTGATATGATAATTGATGCAAGTATAGCTAATGGAGTATAATACAATAGCTTAGTTAACAACTCCAGGGATATGAGTACTGTGATTGCCATAACTATGTTTGACACCACAGTTTCACATCCTGCACTGAAATTTACTGCTGTTCTTGAAAATGAACCTGCAACAATGTTATAGTAAAAACTTATCAGTAGCAAAATTAAAGTATAATACTAAAATGAATAAAAAAATATTGTCTAATTGACAGCTTACCTGTTCCTATATAGCAAGAAGTTAAAGATCCCACAAGGTTCATACATCCCATGGCTGTCATTTCTTTGTTTCCATCAAGATGATAGCCTTTGATTGAAGCGAAAGATCGGCCTACAGCAACGGCTTCCTGAGGAGAATTTTAAGGTATTTTGGTATAAGGATATTTAAGAAGTATTAACTATTAAGTGGAAGACAGAAACAAAGATTAGAGACAGACAGTAAGAGCGACGATAGCACAAATTAGTCCAATTTTCGCAACTTCTCCAATGTGTGGATCCTTGAACTGTAATTGATGAACTGAACTTGGAGGGAGACCCCCTTTGAAGTGTTTTACAATCTTGACTCCATGTTGATCAGCCTTTGTAAGATAAACTATCAAAGTAGATAGTATAACTGATACAAGAGGAGCCATTGCTGGTAGCCAAAACATTTTCTTGTTCCTTTTTCCCTGTAGTTTTTCAGGTTCCCAAGAGATGAATAAAATGCAGGACGCAGTTACCATATAATAAGAGAAAAAGATGATTAAAAGAAAAAAAAAGAATTAGCTACTTACAATAAACCTGGTAATTAGGATGAAGACGAGGAACGAGCAGCCAAGTATAAAATTCAGTGGAAACCACTATAAAGGTGCAAAAGGAAAATTTTAGTAAGCCAAGAGTAAGATAAAAAATGCGACTGATAAGAGAAAGAGGAGACTTGTTTTATTTCAAATGAAGAAGAAGCTCACTGGCTCATTATGGAATGATTTGAATACAGCTACCAAAACAGACACCACATCAGTTTTGGTTGTGAAATGGTTGATTCCTAGAAAACCCTTTAACTGTTGGAGGCCTATTACTATGGCTGCACCTCCCATGAATCCAACTATTGCAGCATGTGAAAGAAAATCCACTAGAAATCCCAACCTGATAAATACTACATAAGTTAACAGCCATATTCCAGGAAACGCAGAGCGATTTTTACAATCCTTTCCAAGTTTTATATTATTTAAAAAAAAAAAAGACAAAATAATATTGTTACTCCCTGTGTTATGGCATATATGGACCACAAGTTCGAAGGATACTTTTGGTACGCGCCAAAAGCATGTCTTTCTTTCTTAAATTTCATGCTCAATCAAACACCGTCATATAAAATAAAAGGAAGGAGTACCTGAATAGTCCAAAAACAGCCTGAAATGCACCGGTGAAGAATGTGGCAGTGAATACAAGATTCCTATAAGCAATAGGATCAACAGCAGGGTCTACAAGTTTGGGAACCGTAGCAGAAAGCAGTAGTGATACAACAGCAACAGGGCCAATGGCGATTTCTCGTGAACTCCCCATCACAGCATATATCAATGGTGGAACAACACTTGTATCTGAAACAAAAAGAGAAAACACACATAAACTAAGGACAACAAGAAATTGACATGAACCAAAGCAAAAACTGGTGTTTGGAACTTACATAAGCCATATTGAGGATCAAGTTTTGCAAGATTAGCATATCCAATACTCTGCAAGCAAATTTATATTTTAATCAAATGTTACATAAGCCATATTGAGGAACAGAAATGTAAGAACCATAGCTTTAATTACCTGAGGTATGCAGAGACTGGCAAGAGTTAAGCCAGCCATTAAATCATGCTTGAACTTTGTAGCTTTATAATTTCTTCCCCATTTAAGAATTGGAAATAAACCTTGCATGAATGAGAAAAAAGCTCCTTTTCTTGATTGTTTTGTTGTTTTTCCACGGGGCAAAACAGTTTCTTTTACTGTATTAATGAGTTCATGCCAAAGACTTGGTGGATTAGGAGAAGTCAGTAGCCACTGAGTCCTCTCCTTCCTTGCAGTATCAGTACTAGCTGCATCAAGCTGCTGCAGCTCAATGCTGAAGCTCTCATTGAGTAGTGATCCCATTTGTTTCTTCAAGTGTTTGGTTTAACTCTGGAGTTAAACTCTTCTCCTCTCATAATCCAGATGAAGTATATATACTAGTCCTATCAGTGGCGTAGCCACTTCGCCAAATACCGTATAAATTAAATACTACTTCATATGGTTATATATTAGATTTTAAACACCCTTAATACGGTTGAGTGAGGCAGTCCAATTGTTCAAGGTGTTCAAAGTGACGTGTTGTTCACGGGTTCAAAGTTCTGCCTAATTTGGTTGCCAAAACTAAACATAGAACATTACCACCATGTTATATTCCAGGTTCATTCATTAGTTATTAGCTTGTTGAATTACTTTAGATTATTGAAAGAAAGACACACACTACTAGAATTCCGGAAAAAAGCGACCAAACTTTAGCGACTAAAGTTGGTCTATCAAGAAAAGCGACCAAAGTTGGTCGCTAAATTGGTGAAAATAATAAAATAATTATTTTAAATACATTAGCGACCAAAGTTGGTCGCTATTTGGTCGATAATTTCGTCAAAATGTTGACCGGACTGGTCAGACCTGCTTGGTCAAAGAAATACTGAGATTAGCGACCAATGTTGGTCGCTAAAGGGGGACCCACTTATAAAATTTTAATAATTATAATATTATTTAAAAAAATTATAAAATATAAATAAATATAATTTAAAATTAGCGACCAAAGTTGGTCGCTAATTAAAGGGTAAGCAGATAGAGACCAACTTTGGTCGCTAATATGGGACCCAGTTATAAAATTTTAATAATTATATTATTATTTAAAAAAATTATAAAATATAAATAAATATAATTCAAAATTAGCGAACAAAGTTGGTCGCTTACTGCAATAGAGACCAACTTTGGTCGCTAATCTGGGACCCAGTTCTAACGTTTAACAATTATATTATTATTTTAAATATTATATAAAATATAAATAAATCTGATTTAAATTTAGCGACCAACTTTGGTCGCTAATATAAAATTATGTATAATTAGCGACCAAAGTTGGTCGCTTTTCAGGTCAACATTGGTCAAAATTAAAAATTACTTTTGTATTTACTATCTAAATAATATAAATGTAAGCCGTTAACACTTTTGTGATACAAGGGATGAATAGACTAAAATATACTAACATGCTATATATGCAGTTAAGTAGTACTACGAAGCGTGCGTGTGTGTCTATATATATATATATATATATATATATATATATATATATATATATATATATATATATATATATATATATATTCTGATTTTATTATTATTATTATTATTTATTATTATTTTGTTATTATTATATGATATATAGTTCTCGAAGAAGCAGAATGAAAAATCCTCTGTGTGAGTAGTCAGAAAAACAAGCAGCGAAAGCACCTTTGGAGATTCAGGGCACCCACCATCCATGGTGATGGTGGCCTACTCCCCATCTTTCTATGAACCAATGGGACTCCATCCTCGGATTCCATTACTGTAGCTAACTGTCAGAATTAATAATGTGGCAAAGCATATGTACATTGGACTACTAATTAAGGCCTCTTTTGGCCATACATTTTGGCAACGTTTTTTCAAATTTTTTTTGAAAAGATTATTTGTTCATAAATTAATGATCTATTTGTGAAAAATTTTTGAAATTATTTTTCAAGTTCCCAAAATCTAGTTTAGGGTAGATTATGGGTGAAACTTGTTCTTCCACTCACAAAACTTCAATTTTTTTTTAAATAAAATGCATGTCCAAACATAATTTCAACTTCCAAAAATTATTTTTCAAAACTACTTCAAAAATTATTTTTTCTAGTTTCAATTAAATCTATGTTCAAACGCTAGCTAAAAGTATTGATGAACGTATTCCAGACGGAGTTTAATGGGCAGGGGGTCCAAGAATATTCTAGCCTGACGATAACATGCCCAAAGTTTGTGTGATGGTAGGACCGTTCCGTCTCAGATATTTTAGTGGCGAAACTGTTTTTATTAGAACTTAATTATCGCTATTAAAAGAAATTTTTGAAACTCACTTTTGCCAAAATTGATACTAATGCGACTTCAGCGTTGTGAACTGCCAAGTAAAAGAGGGAGCTAAGAAGATGAAGATAAGGTTTTCGGAATTAGATACGAAATAGGCAAATATACCTACTTCACACAATAATGCACGTGTACCTGTAGTGACTGGTTTCCCCCACTTAGGTCAGACATGAGCTTGACGACAAATATGTTGTCCTCCGGCTGGTAAATGCGCATTCACACTTCTTTAAAAGTTTTTTTGTTTTAAAAGAAATAAAATAAAATTAGGTTCATCATATATAAGTACCCTTGTTCCCATGCATTCAAATGTTGTACTTTATGGAGTAACCTAGGGGTGCTTATCGAGCGATCATGTGGATAATTATGCTTGACGGTTCGGCTTATCAGTTATCAAATTATAAATATTGTAATCCGCTAGTCATCCAATAAGACAATGGATGGATTTATATCGGATTAACGATTATCGGGCTGTTTATTGCCTAAATCAAATAGAATTTTTTTGAACAATCCTAGTCTTGTGAATACCAAACGGCCAACGATGTCGTTTCCGACACCAACACTGCTTCTTTAGCTAGGGGCATTAACCCAGGACTAAAATCGGCCACATAGTCGGCCAAAACTTGCGACTTGATTGCAGTTCTGGGTTTGTTACAATGTCGAACTCAGTAATTTCGACTGTCCATTTAGCCAAACGGCCTGACAACTCAGGCTTGTGAAGAACATTCCTCAAGGGAAAGGTTGTCACAACGGCTATCGGGTGGCATTGAAAATTAGGCCTAAGGTTTCAAGAGGCGACTACAAGAGCTAAGGCCAGCTTTTCGAGGTGCGGATAGCGGGGCTCTGCTCCCGGCAATATTTTACTAACATTATATACAGGAAATTACGTATACTCTTTTCCTCGCACTAAAACGACACTTACCGCTACTTCCGAGACCGCTAGATATATTAGCAACTATTCACTTTCCCTCGGTTTTGAGAGTAACGGGGGACATTATAGGTACCGTTTTTATGTCTTACAAGGCCTGCTGGCATTCTGAACTCCATTCGAAATTGTTTTTCTTTTTCCGAAGTGAGAAAAATGATGGCACTTCTCAAAAGATCTTGAAATGAACATGCTTATGGCTGCTAACCTCCCGGTTAATCTTTGTACCTCCTTTACATTTGTCAATTGATCCGGAACGACCTCGATAGCTTTTATTTTGTTGGGATTTACCTCGATCCCTCTTTGAGAGACCGGGAACCCCAAGAATTTCTCGGGACTAACCCTGAACGCACATTTTTCCAGGTTGAGTTTCATGTTATCCTCAAGATATCGAAGGTTTCTTAGAGGTGTTTTGTAATGCCCCGTGAAATTCTTACTCAAAAACCCGAAATCTCGTAGTGCCAAGTTAGGAATATGTGTTAGAAATTTATAAAATTCTTCAGCTCGCCGCGGTTCTGACCTTTTGGATTGATCTGTGCATTAAAAAGTTAAGAAAAAATGTTATCAGAAGAGCACGTTTCTGCAGCCCATTATGCGACCGCATAATAGCAATGCGGGTCGCAGAGTGAGGCAGAATGTTGGCTNCTTTGGTCTCTATTTTTCAGATTTTAAAGTATAATATTTTCTTTATAGACCAAAGTTGGTCGCTTTTTTATGATTAATAATAAATAAAAATAAAACGTAATTTACATGTGGAGATCAACTTTGGTCGCAAAAATTATAATATTAAAATATTATAGCGACCAAAGTTGGTCGCTATTTACTTTACCCGGAAAATTTGGTCCTTTTACCATAGGGACCAGCTTAATATCGACCAGGCCTGTTTGGTCGCTTTTTGGCCAATAAGCGATCAACTTTGGTCGCTTCTTGTGGTCGCTAAAGCCCGAATTTCTAGTAGTGACAAAAACCAAAAGAAAGTTTAAAGTTTAAAACAAAAATATAAAGTTTTTACAAATATAGACTTACTCGCTCATCGTCTTAAGATTTTAAATTGGAAACTCAGGTTGTATACATTCTCAAACTAAAATCCACAGTGTACCTCATAAGTCCACCATTGATAAGGACGTTACTATAGTGCTTATTATCACCATGTGATTATGTTATCGAGTTAATGGCAAAGAACGACTCAACATTTAGGTGAGTCATCTAGTGTTATATATATATATATATATATATATATATATATATATATATATATATATATATATATATATATATATATATTCTGATTTTATTATTATTATTATTATTTATTATTATTTTGTTATTATTATATGATATATAGTTCTCGAAGAAGCAGAATGAAAAATCCTCTGTGTGAGTAGTCAGAAAAACAAGCAGCGAAAGCACCTTTGGAGATTCAGGGCACCCACCATCCATGGTGATGGTGGCCTACTCCCCATCTTTCTATGAACCAATGGGACTCCATCCTCGGATTCCATTACTGTAGCTAACTGTCAGAATTAATAATGTGGCAAAGCATATGTACATTGGACTACTAATTAAGGCCTCTTTTGGCCATACATTTTGGCAACGTTTTTTCAAATTTTTTTTGAAAAGATTATTTGTTCATAAATTAATGATCTATTTGTGAAAAATTTTTGAAATTATTTTTCAAGTTCCCAAAATCTAGTTTAGGGTAGATTATGGGTGAAACTTGTTCTTCCACTCACAAAACTTCAATTTTTTTTTAAATAAAATGCATGTCCAAACATAATTTCAACTTCCAAAAATTATTTTTCAAAACTACTTCAAAAATTATTTTTTCTAGTTTCAATTAAATCTATGTTCAAACGCTAGCTAAAAGTATTGATGAACGTATTCCAGACGGAGTTTAATGGGCAGGGGGTCCAAGAATATTCTAGCCTGACGATAACATGCCCAAAGTTTGTGTGATGGTAGGACCGTTCCGTCTCAGATATTTTAGTGGCGAAACTGTTTTTATTAGAACTTAATTATCGCTATTAAAAGAAATTTTTGAAACTCACTTTTGCCAAAATTGATACTAATGCGACTTCAGCGTTGTGAACTGCCAAGTAAAAGAGGGAGCTAAGAAGATGA